AGCGGTCCTTCACTGCTGCAAGCTGCCCACAGGCCTGTCTTCCCCTCCATCTATGGCCTCTATACCCCTGTCCTGCAGGCCACCTCTCCTTTCTGACCTACAGGAGGGCACAGCCCAACTCTGGGCTGGGCTGGGCTGCGCAGGAGGCCCTAGGAATTTTTTTCTTTTCTAATTTTGTCTTTTAATTTAATTTAATTTTAATTTATTTCAATTTATTTTAATTTTTTCTAATTTTAATAATTTTTTATTTTAAATATGTGGGGTACAATTAAGGATTAGGTATTGTGCTGGAGACTCTCTTCTCCCAAGCCTTAGCCTTACGGTCGGACACACTTGGGAGTGACAGGTGAGCCAAGTGTAGCCTTGTGAAAAGAGGTGAGCCAAGTGTAGCCTTGTGAAAGATCCTGCTGGTCCTAGCCTCACACACTGGAAGCTCTGTGGCAAGTCCCACCCCTTCCCTGTGCCTCAGTTTCATGATCTGTTCAATGGGTTGGTAACGTTCCCTGCCTCACAGGGTTCTTCGAAGAGTTGACTGGGGACCTAACAGGCCATGGAGCCTTGATCATAAGGCCTGGCACACAGGAGGTGCTACATCAATGTCTTCTTTCCTTGTCCTCTGTTAGCAGCATCCCCAGAGCTTTTGCAACTTGGTCTTTCCATGAGAATTCTAGAAAGTGAAGAAACTGAGTGCTGTTCCTTAGATCTCACTACCAGGCTTCCCCCGGGCCTCCCTCTGTCTCTGGAACCTTCCTCTTATGACATATGCCCGTTGGCCTCAGCCCTGGTCTCTGCATTCCCTCGAGCACCTCTGCTCCCCGTTCCTGAGCAGGCCCAAGAAGGGAAGCCTACTGAAATAGCGAATGGTTGTGGAGCACTTGCGATGTTCTGAGCGCTGAGCTAAGACCTTTCTAAGCATGAATGCATCAGATTCTTCCAGCAGCTCTGGGAGGCAGTCCTTTTACCATCATCCTGAGTTCCAGATGACAAAACTGAGGCACAGAGAAGTTGAATAATTTGGCGAATAGTCACAAGCAGAGCCAGACGTAATCACAGACAGTCTGAGCCGTATCCTATGCAATGGGGCATCAGAGTCAGGCCTCCCGGCACCTGGCCCCACAGCAGCCATGGGAATGGTGTGCTCAGGGCGGCTGGTCCTGCGGGGAGCTGGGAGCCTGATCTGGGCTGGCCAGGCAGCTCCCACACCCTGACTGGCAGCTGCAGACGGCGGCTCGTCTAATTGCACAGTGTGCCCATGCTTCCTGGCTCAGCCCTCGCTCTTCCCGTTCATCTTCCTGGGTCTCTCTTTGGTCTGCACTCTGTCTCCATTATCTGCGTGGGTTTCCTTCCCATTCTTTTCTGAGGCAGGTCCTCTTTGGGAGCAAATTCTCAGAGTCCATCTTCAGTCTGGCCTATATCCCCACGCTTGGCTCTGCTGAGTGTTCTGGAATGACTTGATTCCTCCTCTGATCCTTGACCCCTGCTCTTTGCCCTGGCTGTGTGAGGCCGGGTACCGGGTCTTGTCAGCCATCTGTGCCAAGAGACCAGAAGAACCAGATCCCAGAGCAGACTTGGCTAGCGACAGTCCTCAGACTTCCCCCTTCAGTCAAGGGGTCTCAGATCCCTCTTCTGAGGAGGCACCCATGCTGACTCCCTCATCTCCTCTTCACATGTAGATGCCTCTGAGAATGGAGACATAAGAGCACAGGTTCACCTGGTGCTTTGTTGCAGGATGGCCAAAGAAGGCAGGCTGTGGCAGCTGGGACTGCTTAGAAGCCGAGGGGAGGGTGGCACCACAAGGGGTCAGAGGGCCACTCACTAACTTGAGACCGACAGGCTCAGCGTACCTTCAGAGCCCCACGTTGACCCCCTCCTGCAAACTGACTGGACCCAGTCCTTGATTACAGGCTGTATGCTCCCCTGGGCATAACTGACCTCTCTCAGGCCTGACTGGTTCTGAGAGCCACCCCTGCCCCCAGGCTCAGACGAGACCTTCTCCCCAGGGTATCCCAGCTGCCAGAAAGGCCAGTGAGGATCCAGAGACATTAGGCAGCAGGCCCAACAGATCAGGGCGGAGTTGTCACTTTCTAAGTTTAGATTTACACACTCAGCAAGTACGTCCCTTCTTAGTGTTTTGCCTGAAATTCTAGTAGGCTATCACCAAGTGGTAGTAACGGCTCCTGGGAGAAGAGACATGATTACTGAAGGAGGAAATTATTATCTTGTATACCACTGTTGTTCTATGATAATAAATAATAGCACTAGTACTAATATTCCTGTTTTGCCTTGGCTATGCCAGGCAATGTCTTAAGTGTTTTGCACGGATCAGTTCATTTAAGCCTCAGAACAGTCTTATATGGTAGTTACTATCATTATCCCTGCGAAGCAGCTTGCTCAAGATCACAGAGCTAGGGTTTGGATCTAGGGTCTGTGCTCTTAACCATTATGAACTGCTTCATAAATGGGCAATTACCCAGGAAAATGTTACCATGGAAACGGATCATCCCATAGCCTGGTGCTTCTTAAATTTAATGGTGTATGAATTCCCTGGGGCTCTTGTTAAAATGCAGATTCTGATTCGATAAGTCTAAGGTAGGGCTTGAGATTTCACATTTCTTTTTCTTTTTTTTTTTTGAGTTGGGATCTCTACTCTATCATCCAGGGTCATAGTTTACCACAGCCTCGACCTCTTGGGTATAGGTGGGTGATCCTTCTGCCTCATCCTCCCAAGACTACAGGTGTACACCATCATGCCTGGATGATTTTTCGACTTTTGGTAGAAATGGATCTTGCTATGTTGTCCAGGTTGGTCTCAAAGTCCTGGGCTCAAGCGATTCTCCCACCTCGACCTCCCAAGGTGCTGGAGTTATGGGGTGAGCCATTGCACCTGGCCAGATTTCACTTTTTTTTTTGAGTTGGAGTCTCATTCTGTCACCCAGGATAGAGTGCAGTGGCACGCTCATGGCTACCCCAGTGTTGACCTGCTGGGCTCCAGTGTTCCTTCCACCTCAGCCTTTCAAGTAGCCAGAACTACAGTCACGTGCTAGTTTTTGATGTACTGTAGAGATGAGGTCTTGCCAAGTTACCCAGGCTGGTCTCTAACCTGCAGCCTCAGGCAATCTACTCTCCTCAGCCTCCCAAAGTGCTGGGATTACAGGCTGAGCCACCGAGCCTGGTCCAGATTTCACATTTTTAATAAGCTCCCAGGTGATGCTGTCGCTGCCAGCCTGGGGATCACACTTGGAATAGTCAGAACAGAAAGCCTGTGTATAAGCCTATGTCAGACTCAAAGCCTGCGAGGGCCAAGTAGGGAACATGGAGATGTGGGAAGCAGCTGCCGGGAACTGAGGTGACATGGAGGTGACATGGAGGTGACATGGACCCGTGGGCTCATATTTATGTGAAATTTCCCATTTGCAAAATTCGGGTAACTTAATCCAACTTTTTTAAACACTTGCAGCTTGTACCTGCATGTTCATAGCAGCACTATGCATAATAGCCCCACATTAAAAACAACCCAAATATTTATCATTTAAAACATGGCATGCCCATACAATGGAATATTATTTGGCAACAAAAAAGAATGAAGTTCTGGCACATGCTGTAACTTGAGTGAACCTTAAAAACATTCCACTAAGTTGTCCAGGCTGGAGTGCAGTGGCACACTCAACGGCCACCCCAGCATCGACCTGCTGGGCTCAGGTAGTCCTTCCACCTCAGCCTTCCAATTAGCCGGAACTACAGGCGCGTGCTACCATGCCCAGCTAATTTTTTTTGATTTATTGTAGAGACGAGGTCTCACCATGTTGCCTGGCTGTTCTCAAACCCCTGGGCTCAGGCAATCCCCTTGCCTTGGCCTCCAAAAGTGCTGGGATTACAGGCTGAGCCACCAAACCTGCCTAGTTTCTTTACTATATAAAGTGCAGTTACAAATCAACAAGAAAAATATTACACCCCTGAAGGAAAAAGAATCACAAAGGATTTGAATAGTGCACAAAGGAAACACAAATGATTCTCAAATGCATGGAAAATTCCCTCACTATAAAATACATACAAGTCAAAGCTACTCTGAGAAGATTTTCTACCTTTAGATTGATGATAATGAAAACTCTGTTATGGAATGTTAACTTGGTGTACCTGCAGTAGGGGAGGGGAGCAGTGGCAATTTTGTATTATCTTGAAAAATCAGTGGTGCACATAACCATTGTCCCTGAAGTTTCACTTCTGTGTTCATACCTCTGCATACACATGTGCAAAATGATGCATATGAAGTTATTCATTATCACATTGTTGGTAACAATGAATGAATGGAAACAACCTAGGTGCTCTGAAAGAGCGATGGGTCAGCACACTGCAGAGTCTGCATGGGCTCTCATGCTGTGCAGCTGCTACACAGAACATGGTAGCTCCATTTGCTCTGATGTAAAGAGATTTCCAAGGCATATTATTAAGTAAAAAACAGAAGATGCAGAACCAGATGGGTGATCTGTTTCCATTTGCGGAGGCAAAAGAAAGAATGCATGTACAAATGTACGTACTGTATAGATTTGTAAGTGCAGGGCCCGCCTTTGGGGTGGTATAATGGAAATTAAGATGGTCCCCGGTGGCTGGATGTGGGGACCAGGGAGATGCATTTGCATTGCACTCCAGTTTCTGGGACTGTGTTGCCTCTTCAGTAACCATTTAAAGCACATCGCTGGGTGGTCCAAAGATCTCCTGCGTGCAGGTCCATGCGACCCCCCAGCTGCTCCTCCATGACGTCTGAGTTAAAGTAACTCCCAACCACCACTGCATACTTCACTGTTTACAACTAACAGAGATGTGCACCACCCACCGTCTCCCCTTTCTTCCTCTCCCCTTGGGATTCTCATGTGCTGGGGGTCTCTGCTGGGGACAAAAGATATGCGCACATGGACACAGGGTATGAAGACTGAAGGGAGACCCCAGGGGGGATCATCTTGGCCTCTGGACCCCAGCCCCTGTGTTTGCTTCCTGTCCTCCAGGCACGCCCCAAAGGCGAGGGTCTGACTCCGTACCAGGGCAAGAAGCGCTGCTTCGGCGAGTACAAGTGTCCCAAGTGCAAGAGAAAATGGATGAGTGGGAACTCCTGGGCCAACATGGGGCAGGAGTGCATCAAGTGTCACATCAACGTGTACCCGCACAAGCAGGTGAGCGGGCCGGGGCGAGGCCTTCTCTGAAGGACCACGGGTGGGTGACTTCTCCCTTACTGGGCCTCAGTTTACCCCTCACGCTGTAAGGATGAGACCAGACCTTTCTGTTCTCCCATTATCTCATCTGAAGTGGGGCAGGAGAGAGGGAAGGAGAGGAGGATGAAGGGGCAGCTGCCCCACCCCATGTTGCTCAGGGGAATTTTGAAACAAATGGGGACAAGCTCTTCCCAGGGAGGCCCTTGTTGTGAGATAAGCTGGGATGTGGAGGCAGCAAGAAGCTGCAGAAAACAAGCATTTCATCCCTTTTCCCATCCAGTGGGCAAGTAGGGGTTGGGGGCATGAACATAGCTCTTCCCAGGGATGCCCTGAGAAGGCCAAGCAGGAGGTGATATGCAGGTGGGGACCTGGGGAGGGGAGAGCTAGGTCTGTCAGGTGGGAGGCTGGTTGTCCTGGGAGGACAGTGCAGCAGGTGCAAATGCCCTGAGGCTGTAAGGACTAGGGTGCTCAAGGCCCACAGCTCAGTGAGGAAGCGGGAAGGTGGAGCGAGGGGGATGGGGTGGGAAGCTAAGCAGGCACCACCAGACCTTGGAGCCACCCGAGGCAGCCCGAGAGCAGCAGGGCTTTTGGCTTCATTTTCAGACACTCACTCTGGCTGTGTGTGGAGACTAGTCTGGGTGAGGGGAGGTGAAAGTGGGGAAGCCAGTGGGAAAGCCAATGCCAGGGTCCCCATGTGAGCTGGGAGAGACTGAGCTCAGAGGTGGCCCTGGAGCTGGACTGACACCAAGCGTCACCAGAATGGTAGCGGCACATGAGGGAACGGCAGGCAGCCGGGAGAACAGTCCCGTTCCAGGCTTGAGCTTCAAAGTGTGGCCGTTCCTGGGTCAGGCAGCCTGAGCTGGGGGGTGGGGGTGGGGGGTGGGACCCAGGGGACAGAGACAGAAGCAGGAGTTCTCGATACACATGATATATTTGTAAAATTTCAGCCAGAGATGTCAAGAAGGCAGTTGGATTTGTTCTTCAGACGCTCATATGGATGTCACAGTGGCTTGTACTGAATTGGGCAGCAATGATCTGAAGGTGTTTGGGGAATGGGTGAGATTTCCTGCAACAAGAAGGTAGACCCGGCCAGTAGAGGAGAATGCCCCACCGAGTGTTGCTGAATCCCAGTGTTCCAGATGGGGGAGAAAGACTCAGTAAAGAGGAGAACCAGGGAGTGTGGAGTCCTAGAGGCCGGGACTGGGAAGTGCTTGAGGGTTGGCTGGAGCTGGATGTCAGGTATAGACCCCAGAAAAGTGCCCTGGAGATTCAGCAGTACACACTTGGGCCTCCAAGCTTGGTGGAGTATCACTTTTGCCTGGACTTGAACCACTCCCAAGGTTGGAGAAGCTCCAAAGCGAATGCCCACCAGTTCAGGCATGGAGGCTGGAGAAGAGGTGGCAATCTGTAGCCGACTGGGTGGCCGGGCCATGTCTGTGGAGCAGTGACTGGAGAGGCTGGTCTGGATCTGGCTGCAGAGGGAGAACCTCGAGGCCCACTCTCTCAAGGTGGGGTTGGCTGTGGAGAGCATCCCAGCAACAGTAGCGTCCCAGGCCAGGGGAGGTTTGTGATCCCAGCTGTGATGGAAGGTGTCAGTTTGGGCCAGGTACAGTGGCTCACACCTGTAATTCCAGCACTTGGGAAGGCCACAGCAAGTGGATTGCCTGAGCCCAGAAGTTTGAGACCAGCCTGGGCAACATAGTGAGACACCTGTCTCTACAAAAAATAAAAATAAATTGGGAATGGTGGTGCACGCCTGTAGTCTCAGCTACTCAGGAGGCTGAAGTGGGAGGATCTCCTGAGCACAGGAAGTTGAGGCTGCAGTGAGCTGTGACTGTGCCACTGCACTCCAGCCTGGGTGACGGAGTGAGACCCTGTCTCAGGAAAAAAAAAAAAAAAAGACATCAACCTGGTACTGTGACTTTTTCCAGCGCTGCTTGGTGGGCAGGTGTCAGCCACACTCAGGGAACAGGAGGGTCCGTGGGGTCGAGTGTTCCAGAGGGAAGATGATCGGGGAGTCAGGCATATCTGCAGAAGTGTGATGATCATGCGTCATCCTGGGGTGACAGCTAGAGGGCAGGGCAGGGATGCCAGAGATGGACAGGGAGAATACGCTGGGACTGGGGGGCTGGGTGGAGTCAGTGGGCAGTCAGTCAGTGGGCAGGAAGGAGAGGAGGTGGGAGCCAGAGGGGTGGTTTCTGAAGAGGACTGTGTCCAGGGTGTGACCGAGGGGGTGGCGGAACAGAAAGGTCACTCTCAGTGAGGTAGTGGGGGAACTGAGGAGCCAGGGGTGGGGCGGACCTTCCGTCTGTGCTGAGTCACCAAAGAAGGATGGCGGGATGGGATGGGGGGTGGAGACCTTGGGAACTGTAGAGGAGGGCTCCCTGAGGCAGTGATGTGAGGCTGTGCTCTGATGGGGATAAAAGGTCGGTGGACAAGGGGGCTGTGGAGGGGCAGCAGGCGAAGGGCCCTGGCATGCTGGAGCAGAGTGTGGGCGCTCCTTTAGGACTTTATGCCTGTCATTCCCTAGGCCACCCCAGGAGGTCAGCCCTACTGTTTCCCCATTTTACAGAAGAGGAAACTGAGGCACAGGGTGTAAGTGATTCACCCAGTGGTTTCTGAAGAGGGACCCAGTTTGGGGCTGGAGGATCGTGTGGAACTTGAAAGAGGCAGATGAGTGGCCTGGGCGGGAGAAGGTGGGGAGGGAGGACAGGTCGGGGTGGCTGGCTGGGGACAAGAGCTAGACATAGTCCAGTTTCTGCAGGGCCTCAGACGCCAGGGGCTGCGTGGGTCTGTGCTGACAGCCTGGGGGCCCGGTTCTTACTATTCTCATACTCTCCACGACCCAAGCAGAGAGGCAGGGCCCAGTCCGTACACCCAAGGCCCTAGAAAGCCGCCTACCTGCAGTGGTTCCAGCCTCCTGGGCCCCTCCCTTGCCCCAGCATCTGGCCAAGCAGGGATCCTCACCACGTCCCTTCCACGATGCCAGGCCCGTTACTGTCTTGTACCACCCTTTCCCGGCCAGCCATGGCCTTACCTGTCTCATGGTCTCTATCCTGCCAAGCTCGGTCCCCGCAGCCTTTCTGACCACCCGTTCCCCATCTCCATACTCAAGATCCAAGTCTCCAAGGGCCCTGTCTGGAAGGATCTATCAAGAGAAATGCCCCCCTTCCCCAGGCGTGTGTGCATTGGGGACACTGAGGCCCCAAGAGGAGATGGGACTTGAGCGGGGGGCATCCAGGTTCTGGGACCCAGGTCAGTCACTACCCAGCCCCTCAGTCTCCTGGCTTGCAAGCTGGGGAGGGGGTGTGGGATGGTGCCTCTCCTGCCTCCAGAGCCTTTGAAGAGTGGAAGGCAGTGAGCCCTCCTCCTCTTGGCGTCCCGCGGAGGGGGCTGGCTCTCCTGCCTCCTGAGCTCTGACCCGCAAGGGCACTGTCTCCTGAGAGCCCTCCACTTCTCCCCTGCCCCTGCCACATCTGTTTCCTGTCAGGCTCCAGCTGCGCCTCCCCCCTGCCAGGCCTGTCCCCCACAAGAAGAAAACACTAATGGGCTTTGCCTTGCTGCAAGGGGTGGGGGTGGCTCTCAGCCAATCAGTCCCAGCTGCCGGCCGCTTTCCCTCCATGGTGAGAGAGTTGTCATGCCAGCGTCCCGGCACTCCCCACCCACGGCAGGCTGAGCAGTCAGGCCAGGACCCACGGTGGGAGGTGGCACCCATCGGGGCACTGCCAAGGAGGAGGCACAGCTCAGATGAGCCCGGTGGGGGAGGGGGGCTGGTGAGGATGTCGCAAGGACATTTCCACAGAGACTCAGCTGGTTCCCCAGCCCCCAGCCTGCCCCAACCCCACATAGTACATGATATTAATACCTGCCAACACAGTGTCAGGCACTGTTCCAGTCACCTTGCATATATTAGCTTATTGCTCTTTACAACAGCCCTATCAAGTAGGTACTCTTATTCACCCCATTTTATGGAGGAGAAAATGGAGGCCCAAAGAGATTAAATGGTCTACTAAAGGTCACACAGCAATGAGTAAATCTTGCAAAGCTCCTTACGGCTACAAAGTACTTTAGACTATCATCTCATTTACTTGTCTCTCGATCACACACACACAGACATGAAAAACTAGGGCCCAGGTACAGAAGGGTAAGGTGAGGTTGGTTCTAGGGGAGAAAGAGTATATACCCCAACAGCCCTCAGCTGGTGGGTGGCAGAACTGGCATGCAAAGCTCTGTCTGTCTGACTCCAGTGACACCGTGTCACGTGGAGACATTGCAGAAGACACCAGCAGAAGAGTTTCGCAGAATAGTCTTCGGGACAGGCTGAAGATGATCCCCTCAGGCCTCCTGGAGCCTCTGCCCCCAGCCCTGGGCCTGCTGAACCTCTGTCAGCCCCTGGGTTGAAGACCCAGAAGGCAGAGGCCCCGTCAGGGTGGGCACAGCTGAGCAGGTGCCAGTGAATTCCCAGGGGAGAGTGCTGTGCCCATGAAGAGAGCCACCCCTCTCCCCAGCGCAGAAGGGTGCTGCCTTGGGACAGAAAGCCAGGAGTCCAGACTAGGAGAAGAGGGAGTGCTGCTGGCTTTTAGGGAGCCCTGAGCCCTAGGATAGAGCAGCCAGTAGGACTGACTGCCAGGCAGTGGGCAGGTGCCCCTGTGGCTCAGGGATTAGAAACAGCATGTGTGGCTGGTTCTTCACTGCAGACCCTGAGGCAAACCCCTTCACAGTGAGTCTTGGAGTCTCAGTTTCCCCATCTGTGAGGTGAATGGCAATGCACCACACACAGAGAGACTGTGAGGTTAGGTGGCCGGACTTGGGTGACAGTGCTTTGCCACATAAAGTATAAGCCGTGGGGAGCAAGGGAGGGTTGGGCCTACCTACTCTGGCATCTCCTGGAAAACTGGGTCTGTTGTGCCTAGCACCAGTCCAGATTATAAGCATCCAGCAGGATGTAAGGGGAGGGAGTGGTGGGCGGAGCAGTGGGGAGCTGGCAGGGAGGGAACTGGAAGTCAGGTTGAGTTCGGTTTGGTGGAGGGGACATTCACTGCACTAGTCAGACCTTCCTGGCTGTGTCAGACAGAGTCTGTGGGCTCCCGTGTGGCTAGGATCTCCAGGAGGAGGGGACTGAGACTCAGACTGCAGCTCAAGGTCAGAAGTTTTCTTACAGTGCAGGCAGGAAACTGAGCTGTGAGCTCTCCAGCCCTGGGGGCATGCAGGCCAAGGTCTCCACGGGATGTCTAGCAGAGCAAGGACATGACCTTCCTAGGCCCACCTTGGGATGCTGGCTGCAGTTCTGAGTGACCTTCTACCAGCTGGTTTCCCCCTCTTGTCCCCCTCTTATCAATAATAGGAATAAATGCCAATAACTTCTGCCTGCCATGCTGTTTCTATTCGTTATCTACATGGAGTTGTCTGTTGAGAAAACTGGTTATCAACTTCTGTTACAGACGAGGAAGTGGAGGATCAGAGGAGTCAGGTGGCCTGCCCTAGGTCACACAGCTCATAAGTAGCAGAGCCAGTGTTCGTGCCTAGGTTTCACAGGAAGTCAGTCTCCCTCCTCTCCCCTGGCCTAGATGCAGGCCGGACAGGGAAGCCAGCCATCTGAAAGCCCTTTGCAGTGAAGCCAAGGCGCCTGTCCTCTGTATAGGCCTTTGCTTTGTGGCTTTATGCCTGGAAGCACAGGGGATGGGTTTTATGATTCCAGAGGGGCAAGTGGAGTTCCTGGATCAGAACCCTGCCTACCCCGAGCCACCCCCTCACCCTTGCTTTCTAGAATCTTCTGACTCATCCATTCCTCAGACTGTTCTGAGTGTCCACTCGGGGCCAGGACTGTGGACAGAAAAGCCAGTGTGCTACTTCTGAGCCGTTCACGATCGGGACAGTGCCCGTCCTCCACTGCCCTCACCTGACCACCCTGGGACATGGTCTGCATCCAAGGTTCCCTTACCCCGAGCTAGCCTAAAGTTCCTGCCCCCTCTCCCGGGCAACGCATCACGCACAGAGAGGCTGTGAGGCTCCGAGAGGCAGGCGGGCCCGGGTGCCTTGGCTGAAACCATCTCTGTGACCAAGTCCTGCGTGCTCTCTCCCCTCCCCGCCTTCTCCGTGTCTCTCTGTTACTCTTGTCTCTTGAGTCCCCGAGTCCATGCAGAAGACCCTTCTGCAGGAAGGCTCAGTGAGAGAAAGCAGCATTCCTGTGCACCAGCCAAGAAACTGCCCACTTGGGAGGTGCCCCTCATGGCCCCCAGAAACTTCCCTGGAAGGCAAGCCTTTGTAGGCTTTGGAGAGTCAGGCAGGGAGGGGAGAGGGAGCAGGGAATCTCCCTATCTAACAGAAACATGCAGTGTACACTGTCCAGTTTACAAGCATTTGGTGTCCCTCTGGATCCTTCTAGTACCCTGCAAGTAACGCACTCTGAATGACCCACTTCACAGATATGAAAACCAAGGCTCCCTGAGGTCACGCAGTGAGTGGTGGCACGTAGGCCTGGCACGGTAGATCTGCCTTTTCTGGGCCTCTGTTTCCCTTTTAGAAAACTGAGATTCCATTCTTGAAGCCCCTCAACAAACAGGGCAGGTACCGGGCCAGCCCTGGGATGTGAGGTCAATTACAACCTTGGCTTTGGGGCAGGCACATTGGCTCAAACTTGTAAACCCAGCATGTGGGGAGATCTAGGAGGGAGGATTGCTTGAACTCAGGAGTTCAAACTGCAGCAAGCTATGGTTGTGCCACTGTGCTCCAGCCTGGCCAACAGAGCAAGACCCTGTCTCTGAAAAAGCAAACAAAAGCAGAAAGCACCCAGCAGGTTGCTGACATGGAGCTCACAGCTGGCTTCCCCCACGCCTGAGGTACTGTGATTATGTCCAGTTTGGGCTTCCCTTGAGACCTGAGGCTGCACAAGCAGGGGTGGGAGTGACAGGCAGCCAAGGAGGAAGTGCCAGATGCTGGGAATCAGATGAGCGTTTGGGTCTCCCTTGCTCTGAGCCTCGTTTCCTCATGTGGACAGTCTGCATCCCTGTCGTGACTCTCTCCTGGACTTCGTGAGCATCAGGCGGTAGCTGCATAGAGGGTCCTAGGCAGAGCAAAGTGGTGCATATGCCCAGAGTTCCAGGCATGAGACCCTGTCCCACAGCTTGGGCTCCAGCACAGGCCTTTGCCTGTGGCTTACAGACAGGAGAGACAGGAGGACCCTGGGTGCCTTGACTGAAACCATGTCTATGACCAAATTGTATGCTTTCCCCGCCTCTCCCCACCTTCTCTGTGTCTCTCTGACTGTTACTCTGTCTCTCTCTGTCTCTGGATATGTCTTTCTGTCTCTGTCTGGCCCCCCCCCATATATCTGTCTCTTCTGTCTCTGTCTCTCTCTCTGTCTGTGTGTTTCTCTGTCTGTCTCTGTCTCTGTGGATGTGTCACTGTTCTCTGTGTGTTCCTCTCTGTCTCTGTCTCCCTGTACTGCTCCCTGCTTCTCTCTGTTTCTTTCTCTCCACCCCGCCCCCACCTCGTGTCCCTTCCTCCTCTCCACAGAGACCCCTGGAGAAGCCCGACGGCCTGGACGTGTCCGACCAGAGCAAGGAGCATCCCCAGCATCTCTGCGAGAAGTGCAAGGTGCTGGGCTACTATTGCCGCCGTGTGCAGTGACTGGCTGCCTGCCTGCCTGCACCCACAGCTGCCCCCCTGCCTGCCCGAGGAGACACTGCCTCCCCTGTGCTGCTCCTGCTCTGAGGGGCTGTGTGTCCCCCTGTGCGTGGGGCATCCTTGCAGGCCCACAGGTCTGGGCGGGGGCTTCTTAGGGTCCTTGTCTCGTGTGTGTTGACAAACACTGTTACTGACACCGCTGCGCCCACAGGTCAGAGAGGGCAGGGTCCCTTGACGGGTGGTCTTGGAGTCTCCGTGGGGTGAGAGGAAAAGGTAAGCAGAGGCCGGTGTCCAAGACCCCGCAGAGCCCTAGGTATCCCCTCACGCTCTCCTCTGAGAGTCCCTTTGGGGTGAGCAGCCTCATATTGGCTACAAGTGCACTAAATTTACTGTGAATCCCAAAGCCTGCAGGGACCGTCTCCCTGAGACCAGCCAGGCTGCCTTCTCCCACAGAACCTTCCACATCACCCTGAGTGGAAAGCCACTCTTGGAAGTCCCTATGTTTCTGTCCTTTTTAAGTCAGCAAATGCAGTGCAGTGAGCACTGTATGTCCTACCAGCTGCTGGGGAGTGGGCCTCTCTGTTCCCTGTCCGTGTTGAGCCCTAAGCCCTGACTGCCTCTGATGTCACTGGTGTGGCACCGGGTGTGCCCCCTCCAGCCTCTGAGGGCTCAGACAGGAGAGGTCGGTGCAGGGGTGGCTGAACATTAACAGTGGACAGGTGTGTCCTGGATCACACTGGGCAGTGCCGTCAACAACGTCCACCAGACACTGTTCCCACTGGCTTGAGTTTCGTTGGCCCCATGCCCTTCCCTCCCCCTTCCACCCACACAGAGGGTCCACAACCCCAAGAAGGTTGTAGGGCCCAGTACAGAAGCCACTCTGGCAGGAAGGGCACAGGCCTGGCATCCTGGACACTTTGGCTCAAGTCCTGGCCTTGCTGCCGACTCACTGTATCACCTTGGGCGAGAACGGCTTATCTCTGGGCCTCAGTTTCCCTGTTAGTGGAGTGAGAGCATGACACTGGAGAGCACAGAGGCCTGTTTCAGTTATGTTCTGAGATTCGGGCGGGCTGAGTGCCGTCTCCGGGAGCAGAGCTTTATTTGGAGAGTTTCGCCCAGGACCATGGGAGAAACCTCTTGGGCGCCAGGTTCTTCACACCATGACCTCTCAATTGGTCACTTAGGAAGTCAGGCCTCAGGATGCTGAGTCCTCTCCTGCTGCCCCCTGTGGCCCCACCCCTGCAGAAGTCGAGAATGATCCCCTACTCCTCCCTGCCCAGGCCTCTCCAGTCCCTGAGGTGGGGCACCCTGAGACAAACTACGGAACCTCTCGTGTTTAAAATGGGGACGATGATTTCCTACCTCCCAAGGGAGCAGAGAAGCCTCTGGCGCGGCCCATGGTCAGGGAGCCTGGAGTCCTGGCTGGCAGGACCGCGTGCTCCTCTCTCCCTTCCGGATGAGAAGTCCCGTTTCAGTTGTCTTAGCCTCCTTCCTTTTTTCCCAGGGAGAGAGTCAGGACTGGACTGCTTGATTTTGCCCCAACATTATGCCTCTGTGGGGGAAAAAAAAAATCAGACCACGAAATGAGCCTGAAATTCAGTGTTTACCACAGCTCAAGGACACCCACCCAGTGTTCAGGTGCCTTTTGTTTTCAAATGAAAATGCTTTGTACAACTGAGGAGTTACAGTGAAGTGTTAACCAGGGGTCCAGGGAGCGAGTCGAAAAGATGGAGTGAGTGTGTTTGCAGCCAGGGGCTGCAGGGTAGATTCTGGGGGGCCATACCTTCTGAGCACTTAAAGAAAGTGTATTTGCTGTGGGCTGGGCGGGAGGCTGCAGACATCCCGCCACCATGGGGGACTGCCACTGAGGACTCCCCACACCTGCTGCTCTCTGTCCACTCCAGGGCGTGGAGGTGAGCTGGGGTTGGCCTCAGCCCCAGGCTTCTGCCCCTGAGGAGAATCTGTCACTGGCAGTCATCCTACCACTTCTAAAGAGATTGTTCGCAGTGATGGGCTTCCAGGGACATGGCCCCACAGGGGGACATTGGCTCAAGGATGCTTCGGGACTGCCAACGGGGCTGCAAAGGTGAGGGCAGCCCATACTCTCAGAAGAACCCAGGCTCCAGACTGATGGAAGCCAGGGCCTTCTCTGCACAGGCCAACGGAGATGGCTTGTGGCCTTGTCAGTGGACTTAGTCCAGCAGGTAGCCACTGCCCGACCATCTGTGCAGCTCAGGCTACCTCAGGGTTGCTCTCTCCCACCTGAGGCTGCCCCTCTGCACACCCACCTACACCCCAGCATTGTTCTGGCTGAATCTGGACTCTCCCTGTGGTCAGCAGACGCCAATGCTGTCCAAGCTGGGTGCTGTGAGAATTAAGTGCTCAGAGGGCCTGGGAGCCCAGGGGACAAGAAAGCCTGTGGTTTTAGTACGTTCAAAAGGGACAATCGTTTGCAGTCAGTAGATCTAGAGATCTAGTTGGAAGATCATGGTGTTTACCCCCATATGAAGTATTCAATAGCTCTACTTGTGAATTTGTATTTATTTTGAGTTATACTTGACACAGAAGTCCTTTTTTTTAAAAAAAAATACTATGTGTGTATTTTGAAAAAAATTCATAGATGTTAAAATTTCTGCATGGTTACCAGTTTTTCTCACAACACTGAATTTGGTAGCTTCTCCCGAAAAATCTTCACGGTGATTTTTGTCTGTATATATTTGAGGGCCTTTTTTAAAAAAAAAAAAAAGAAAGAAAGAAAGAAAAGAAAAGAAAAATATAATAGCTTGATTTTTGAGATAAAAAACAAAAAGAGAGGCATTTTCAAAACTTCAGAACTTTCAGGAGGGCAATAAAATATCAAACAAAGATTTCTGGAAGTATTTTGCAAACCTTTTGATTGAGCTGCAAGAAAATATTTATGATGAGAACTTTTTTTTCTCTTACTGGATTTTTGGTTGTTTTTGTTTGTTTTTTTTACTATGCTTTGGTCTGTAAAAAGTATGCAACTGAACTACATTAAGAAGGAAATATTGTCTACATAGAATATTATATGAAGTTGGTACATAATTCTGATGAGAAAAAAAAAATCTTTGCAATTCTTTAAGCCATATTGTTATTCTGTATTTTCCTTGGATGAAAATATCAGTATTAAGTAGCCAGCATATTATTCAAGTGTTTAGACATATTAATATGTTCTTGTCCTGTATTTATACATATGTGTATTTTGGAAAGTGTTGCCTTTTTTAAGGGAAGCTATTATTAGCTACATAGCAAAAAAGGGAATGGTGACCCCTTTGTGCCTCTTCCGCTGAGGATAACAAACAGCATTGTAATCCATTCTCTCGCACCTTCTTCTTATTATCTTGTTATTAGGGTTTTATTAGGGAGCAGGCGTGGGAAGAGGACGCATTTCATGAACCGGCCCCTCTGTGGTCCGCCAGCCCTTGGCCTGGCTGGGGGACTCCAGATCAGTCAGACCCCAGGAAGAGGGAGCAAGAGGCTGACTTCTCCACATCCCTCTCTGGAGTTTTGCCATCTGAGCCACGCCTCGGGGCCATGCTCCTTATACTTGGTTATGTCAACCAGAGCCCTGCCCCGGCCCTCCAACCTCTAATAGACTTGAATCTACTCTAAACGAATATTTAATCCAACCTCACTACATCATAGCCCAGTGCAACAACTAACTTGTGAGTGACATGTGGCCTCCAGCAGGGTGGTCCAGCGGTTCCCATCGGGGGGAGGGGGGCTGGGGGCAGCGGGTGCTCGTGTTCTCTGTTGCCAACCTCGCCATCTGGCCTCCTCCGCCCCTGTGCAGTGACCCTGTCCGTGTCTGTATCTGTTTATACGTGTGAGTCCAGCTAAAAAGACAAACAGAACCCGTGGGCCCGGCTTGGAGGGCGTGTGGAGAGCTCCAAGCCTCTCCGAAGGGCCGACCTCGGGATGGCATTCCGTTGTGTGCCTTATTCCTGGAGAATCTGTATAATCTGTATACGGCTTGCCTATAGAAATATAGCCTTTTCATGCTGTATTAAAAGGACTTTTAAAAGCACAAGAGGCTCATGTGTTTCCTTGTTTACACAGACCGTGGGGGGGGGGGGGGTGACGCGGACGTTTTCACAGGCAGAGAGAGAGCGGGTGTGGGAGGGACTTGGAGCGCCCCCCCAGCTCTTGCGGGTCATCTTGTCCTTGCCCTGCCCCCATGCCGTTAATTTGCCTCCTCCCACCCCCTCTGCCCCCAAGTGGACATTCTGCCTGGTAAAGGCCCTCCCCAAATAGGGCCCCAGACTGGAGATTGTAGGCAGATTAGGTCACGCGTTAGCTCAGCGTGGGGGGGGACTCCTGGGTAACCATATATAGGAGTGAATCTTCCTCGGAGAGGCGGTAGCCCTGGGCCAAGATCAGAATTTGGGCCCAGACACCAGGCATCACACCGTGATGGGGAGGGACAGGGAGCCCCTCTGAGCAGGGCAGCCCTGGGCCAGGCTGTCATGAGGTGGGCCCTTGCTGGGGGCCACAGGGGATCTACAGCCAGACAAGACTGTCAGACACTGCCTGCCCACAAAGCTCTTCTGCCCAGTGTCAGTGAACCTTGCGGCTCACCAGGGTCACCCACAGGGACTTTTAAAACGCCCAAGCTGAAAAGGCTGAGGAATTGGCCCGAGTGTGTCCTCGGGTTTCTAAATCCCCCCCAGCTCAGTCCGTTGTGCATCCAAAGTTGAGGAGCAGTGGGCTCTGAGATGGTGCTTCATGTTCCCGGGGATTGATGGTGGCATCAGGGAGGAGGCTGACAGCAGCCCCAGTGGAGGGGCTTCCCGTCCTCGGCCCTAATGGTTGCCATTGAAGAATAATGCTGCCTTGTTCACAATAGCAAGAACCTGGAAGCAACCAGGCTGTCCATCAAAAGAGGACTGGATCAAAAAAATGTGGTACATATACACAATGGAATACTACGCAGCCACAAAAAAGAACAGAATCATGAATTTCGCAGCAACCTGGATGGAACTAGAGTCTATAATACTGAGTGACCTCTCACAGAAACAAAGATCTGAGTATCACATGTTCTCACTCATATAGTGGACCTTGATCATCCAGCATATTACCATAAGAAAATGACTGACAGTGGTGGGAAACTATGGGGGTGAGGGGAAGGGAGACGGGATTAACGGTAGTAAATATCTGTCTGGGGAACGGGGAGACGACCTCTTATCAACAAGGGTGCCTGAACGAAGCATATTTGTATACCTAACCCTTAACTGTACCCCACAATATCATAATAAAAAATATTGATTAAAATTGAAAATAAATAAATAAATAAATAGAATAGAATAATACTGCCTGGTGGGGGAGGGGAAGGAAAACTAGAAATCCCAGTTATACGCAGTTTTGAATTCTGGAAAGTAATTTACTGAATTTTTAAGTAGTGTAGAAGTCAAAGCACATGTCTGTGGGCCAGCCCACGCCTCTGGACCACAGCCTCTGACAGGGAGCAGAGACAACAAAATTCGAGTCCACGTCAGAAACCATGGGTGGGAAGTGGGGAGAAACAGGCAGGAACAGAGACCACCGAGTCCAGAAACAGGACCTCTTGTCTTATCTGGAGTACAAAGTGAATCCCCAAAGCCACCAAGCCTTTCCTGCTTATCGGCATAAAGAAAACCCCCCTCTGGGCACCTGCCCTTGGCAGGCAGGACCAGAGTCAGCCCAAATGCAGGGGGGCCGGTGCAGCCCAGCAGGTGAGTGGAAAGGGGACCCACCCCCACAGAGTGAGGGGAGGACAGAATGACCCCCAGAGCACCTCCTCTATGGTGGACATTCCGAGTCCTCCGGCAGCCTGGGACTGGGGGAAAGTTCTGCTCTCCCTGGGCAGATCTGGGGACACCGACCTGAGTCTGTCTCAGAGTGCTCCCGTCTTCTGCAGCCACTGCCAGACCTGCCCTTCCTCCCCCGGCTGTGTGGTGCCCACCTCTCAGAGTCCCAGCTCTCTCAGGGATATTGTGTGGGTAAAAAAAAAAAACAGCTCGGTGAGTGCAAGACCAGCACAGTGTGTGGCACACTGGGGACCCTGGAGAACATGGGTCTCTGGCTCTCATTGTCTGTGACTCAGGCCAGAGATCAGACAGTGGAACCAGAGGGGAGCCAGGCCTCGAACCTAGGGCCTCCAGGCCTCTTTCACCCAGTAGCCATTGACCAAGCACCCACTGTGTGCTGAGGCTGAGGCTTCAAGGCTGGTGTTGGATGACCTGCCCCTGCCTTGAGTGTGTATGTCAGTGTGCATGCGCCTGTGTGCTAGTTTTGTTTTCTTTTCCGTGGAAAAAAAACAAACCCAAGGCAAACACAGCCTGCATTTCAACATTTCCCGGAGCTGTGGAAACCAGCAATTCCCTTGGACAGGAAGGATTTCCGGTTGGCCCGAATGCCCATGTCCAGAGGCAGCTGGCTGCTGAGGACCCGGGAGAGAGCTGAGTCCACCCAAGAAAGGGGCATCTGGGGACCCAGAGAGGATGACCCATTCCTCCGCCGAAGCTCAGGCACCCAGAGGGGAAGGTCTTGCCCAGCAGGCAGGTGATAGAGTCAGGATTTGAACTGGGAGTTCTCACCTCCCAGCGCCAGGCTGGAATACAGACCGAGATGCAAAGAAGGGGCAAGGAGTGAGGACCCCAGGAGTTGGGGTGGTTTTGAGGGGCAAGAAGACCAGGGAGGCCAAAGGGAAGTAGGGCAGATGGCAACAAGCGGTAAGGGCAGCAAGGTTATGGGGAGCCCCTTCGGCGCTGGCTCCAGGCACAGACACCCTCAGTGCCAGAATCCTCTGGGAACCCAGGGTCCCCCTGCGGAAGAAGGCAAGGCTGCTGGTGCCAGCCTCTTCTCAGAACATGTGACATGAAGCCTCAATCCTTATCTGTCAGCAGAGGGCAATCAGGATTGCTGCAGTGGACATACTGGCCGTTCCCGCGCCCAGCTCAGGGCCAGCGCCTCCCTTCCCGCCAGCCCCTACCGTGGCGCTGAAGTTCCTCACACCAGGAGGCCGGCCAAGGCAGCCATCCCAGCCTCTGCTCTGCGCCCCTGCCAACACCGAGTCTCTCCGGGCTTTCCGCCCTCACGCATCGTTCTAACAGCCCCAGCAGGAGCCAGGGCAGGGAATATGTCAACATAGCAGGTGGAGAAACTGAGGCTTAGGGAGGCCCTGCCACCTCCGGCTGCCAAGCAGGATCTTCCACTGGACCTTCTTAATCTCCACTGTCCGCACTGCTTCTTATCCTGACGAGGGCTACTGAGTGGATTCCCAGGAGCCTGTTCAGACCTTTAGCAAATTCTATCCATCAGCGTTTACTGGGCTTGGACAGGGACCCACGAGGCACCAGGGAGTCAGGCTCCTGCCAGCCCTCAGATGCCTGCCCTCCACTCCCCATAGCCTGGAAGACCCAGAGCCAGCATCCAAACACTACCTTCCAGCTGTTGCCTAGTGTGGGCTGAGGGGTGTCTGAAACCGGTAGGGGGGAGGGAGTTGAGGGAGAGAAGAGGCAGGGAGGAGCCTAGATGAAGGGGGCGACAGCTGGGGGTGGGCTTACCGCCTCCCCAGAGCCAAGCGTCCTGGCTGTTCCCCCAGAGCTCCAGCTGGAGCCAGGAACAGCCTGTCCTTGGGCGCAAGCGCCCCTCTCGGCACCTCCCCCACCGTTTGTCCTGAGACCGGATCCTAGCAGGGATGTCAGTAGCTGCCTGCTCCTCCTGCTCCTTACCCTAACACACACACACACACACACACACACACACACACACGCCAGGGCATGGAGTCTCGTGGGGGCAAGGCCCAGGCTCCTCTCCAGCCAGAATGGACCAGTGCAGGGTCCACCAGCCCAGGCCCCAGCCCCCTCTCAGCCAGTGGGGAAGCTCCCGCCCAGAAGGGTAACGAAGGTCACATGATCTGTCCATCTCCTTCCCCAAAGGCCACACGTCCCCCCTCAGGAGCTGAGGACCCAGTAGGTAAGAGAAGCTGCATCCCAGCCCTCAGCCACCACAGCGACAGAAGTGGGTCCTCACAGCTTACACAGTTGGGGGACTTCATAACTTTGTTAGGTGCGATAATGGCACTGAGATGGAACGGGATCTAAAGTCCTTGTCTGTGAGATTCTGGAGAATGTATAGGTGATATGAGGCAATGCCTGGCTTTGTTTTCAAACCGTCTGGAACATGGCCCAGAGGGCTGTTGAAAGGAGATTGAGGTGGGGAGGAGACCCTCGGATCCCAACACTGCACCCCCTGCTTTTTGGGTCTTCACGGGGGTCGGGGGCCAGGAGACAAGCCCCAAGGCAGAGTGGGGGCGGGGTCCCCTTGAGTCCTCACGCAGGGCAACACTTTGCAGTCCTGGCCGCCTCCTCTAAAGGCCGCCTGCTTCATTGCTGATCTCCAGGGCCCAGTGTGGCCTGGCACGTGGTCACGTTAAATGTGAACTAAACAAGTACATACAGTGAACACCAACAGCCATGGAGCCCTCTGGTGCGGCAGCTATTGTGAGCATAATTGATATGCACCGTCATTCTTGATCGTTGCAACAACCCTGGGAGATGGGCACTAGGACGAGTCCCATTTGAGAGATAGGGAAGCTGAGGTTTTGTGAGGTTGAGTGACTTGTCTGAGATCACAGGGGTAGCAAGGAGCTTTGTACCTCTGAGCCTCTCCCCAGCACCCCCCTCCCACTCCTCCCACTGTAAATCAGGCTAATCTCTGCCTCCTGTTGCTTCCTGCAGCTGTGCTGCCCTTGCAGACAGCCAGGCAGCCGCCTTCCCTCAGCTCCCCCCGCCCCACCCTGGGCCCTCTCTCCCCTGCCTAGCTCGGCCTGCCAGCACCCCACCGTAGCTCAGAGCCATGCACCATCGCGTGCAGGTCCCATGGTTATTGGAGGCCTGTGTGGGGGCCAGAACCCAGGCCTAGCCCCCCAAGGGATCTTCCAACCCTCTATACCTCTCAGGGGTTCCTGGGGTCAGGGGTGCTCTGCTCCTGGCTCCACTGTGTCCAGCAGGAGTGAGGCAGGTCAGACCCCTGTGCCTTCTCTCC